TTCACACGAAAGTTTTGCCAAGCCGAGATATGCAAGGCGCACGAGCCAACCAGGGCGCGTCTTCCCCGCGGTGTTTGGTGTTGATCTGGAGGGGACGTTGATTTTCCGCTTTACGCCTTTCACCACCTCTACACGTCTCCGTAACAATCACATTAGCCTCGAAGGCGGAATCTTCCGCTCATCCTCACGCACACGCCGTCCCTTCGACACTACGTGCCGTCCCAACCTCGCACCAGTCCGCACATTGCACCAACATACCGAACGCAGATTGCTCCGAAGACACCACCACAAGGCAAAAGAATAAAGGAGACACAATGGCATCAGACACGCCAGACCAGCCCTTCTCCCTCTCGCAGGCTTCACACAGTGGAGGTGCGGGAGCCGATGACGCGGAATCGCTCTCCCCGCTTGAACAGGAGGTTCTGGATGAATATGCGCGGTTGCTTGGGAACTTGAACAATGTACGTATGCCTCCTTCTCTCTTCTCCTTCCTACAACCCCCCTCCCTTCCCATCTTCCCGACTCCGTCTCACTCGGCCTTCCTGCGCCCACTCCTCCAATTCTTCTATGATCCCGCACGATAGCTAATGCGATGTCGGGAGCAGATGTCCACGCTCCTCCAAGAACTCAGCGCGAATCCCTCGGCCGAGATCCTGGATGCTTTGAGGGGATTAGAGAGGAAGACGAGTCTGGTGTTTACGTTGTTGAAGGCGAGTGTGTATAGTATTGTGCTGAATACGCAGATTCGGGAGGAGGATGGGGGTGGGGAGGGGAGGGAGAGTTTGGGGAGTGGGTTGTGAGGATTGTTTGAAAGGGGGAGGGGACGGTGGGCGGGCGGATGACGACGATAACGACGGACAATATATGATACCCAAGACAGATGAAAGGATGGACGCGGAACGAAACACAACGAAGTGAGGTTTGGTTCTGTGTGTAGAGGATATACTACAAGATTTCTACAATGCTACCGCGCTATGCTGATGCATACTGTACAGAGCCCATCTCATCTTTCCACATCCAATCCCTGATATCATACAGTTCTCTCCCCATCTAATGTACACTCCCACCATAGTACACCTTCCTAACATCGACCAATTTCTTCCCTCTCGCCCGCGCGATCTCGTCCGGCAGCTTCTGGTTGCAGAGCGCCTCCCATGTAGCTTTGATGACATTCATCTTGTTCCGTGAGCGCGGTGTGCGGGCGGCGAGGTCTTGCAGGCCGGCGGCGCGGGCGAGCTCGAAGATGAGATGTTGGGTGCGGAGACCGAAGCCTGTACCGTATTAGCCATTGCAATGGGAGGGTTCCTGAAAGGCATGTTGGGTCAAGACGTACCAGGCGGCCGCGCCATAAGCTGCACCTTTGTAGCACCGACCTTCCACTCCAAATCGCCAAATGTAGTCCTATTCTCGTACCGCGGCACAGGTCTCATGTTTCTGATAGCCGCCATGACACTCTGCTTCCTACCCTCGTCGGGTTCTACAGACTTGCCCTCGCCCACGCCCAACAGGCCATCCTGGTTGCCCGCAATGGTCAGATAGTACATGCTCCTAATCTTGCCCATGCGCGTCTGGTTCGTCACACCGTGCACCACCAACGTCTTCACCCTAATACTCCGGAGCTTCTTCTTGTCCCAGTCCAGGTACTGCAGCAGTCGCTTCTGCCGGGGGTCCTCCTCCTCTTCGCTGCTGAGACGCCGCGTCTGACGCACCATGCGGTTTTCGATTCGGGGGAGGGACGGCGCGACGATGGAGTGGCGGGGGTCGGCGAGCGCGGCGACCGTCCGTGGGTTGCTGGAGTGGAAGGATGTGCGCGGGTCGAGCGTGGCTTGCATGAAGGCGGCGTCCATGGCTTCGTGGAGCTTGCGTTCTTCCTCCGGGGACAGTTCGCCATCCGGGATACCATCGGGGTAGAACTTTGCGAGCTGCTCGTTGGTCACGCGGGCTATGGCTGCGTCGCGCTCGACATCGTTGTTGTCGCGGAATGCGTGCGGGCCGGGTATGTCTTCGGGAGAGAGCTTTTCGGGCTGGTCGGTGATGGGGTCGACTTCGGAGAGGTCATCGGCGTAGGGGAGACGCCATGGATCTGTGCGAAGCTGCGATTGCGTGAGGAGGTCTTTTGCGTCGATTGCGGTTTCGGCGGCTTTGATGGCGGCGATTTGCGAGGGGGTATAGCGCTTGCTGAGTATATTCGTTTCTGATTTGTCGTAGGAGGGGAACTGCGTTTCAGCCGCTTGGTTGAGAAGCTTCAGGTCCTCTGCTTTTATTGATGGGTAGTGCGGTCGTCGTCTTCGGGCTGGTCGAATAGTTGAGGCGTGTAATGAGCGTTTCGGTGTCGCCTGCGGCTTAGGGAGGAAGCCGGCGGACAGAAGGCATCGTGCGGGACGGCAGACGCTCATTGCGTCTTTCTGCCGCCGTGAAGAGGCCAATTGGTGCTGCGAGGGGCGGGGAGCGAGAGATGCGCGTGATGCTGCCCGCGAGATGCTCGTCTGGGGTTTTTTAGGGTGACTAAGCGGGGGATTTCGCGCTAGCGACTTGTTCGCTTTACCTTTTCTGGAGGAACTTATTTTGTGCGGTCTACATGGTTCCTTTACTTTTTCGCACAACGCTACGGACACTGTTGAGCAGTGGCCGAAGCACTCAAATAGCTAGGTATAGTATGGCGTCGGCGGCAGCGAACGTGGCGCCCGTCGAGAGCGTTGGGGAGAAGAGACATGCCGAAACGCCCCTTAGGAGCGAGGAGGCGCCACGGGGAAGTTTTCGATTCAAGAACAAGAGGATGAAGAAGGGGCATGGGGATGCGAGTGAAGTTTTAAAGTCAAATGGGACTAATGAGGAGATTTTGTTGGAGGATGTCAAGGCTCTTTTGAAGACTCTGAGTCTGACGGAGAATGGGAAAGCGGACGTGACACTCCCCGAACTACGATCAGAGGTCGAGATCACAATCAAAGAGATATCATCGACGGGAGACGGTCTAGGATTGCAGGAGGACTCGAATTCCGATCAAGTCTACGTTATTCCATTTACGGCGCCTGGAGACACCGTTACTGCCAAGATCTTCAAACACGACCAGAAGAACAGGTACTCCATGGCCGACTTTGTCAAAGTCAATAAGCCCTCGCCACACCGAGACGAATCTCTCGTCAGATGTCCTTACTTCTCGACCTGCTCCGGCTGCCAGTTCCAGATGCTCCCCTACGACTACCAACTTGTGCACAAGAAATCGATAGTGGAGAAAGCCTACAAAAACTTCTCAAACCTACCCCCAGAGCTCATCCCAGCGATCGGTGATACAATCGGCTCGCCTCTACAGTACGGATACCGTACAAAGCTCACTCCGCATTTCGATGGCCCACCAGACGCACGAAGAAGCGACGGGAGGAACGGCATCAAGCGCAACTTCAAGGAAGTACCACCGATTGGATTCATGAAGAAGGGGACACGTATCACCATCGACATCGAAGACTGCCCCATCGGGACCGATGCTGTGCGGAACGGCAACAAGCGCGAACGCAAACGCGTCGCAGACGAACTTGAGAAGTACCACAGAGGCGCCACGCTCCTCCTCCGTGAAAGTACCGAACGCATCCCCAAACCCCCCTACGATGCCTCCAAAGAACAAGACCCCGATGCCGTCATCGAAGACCGCGGCGCTCACATCCACAAAAAAACATGCGTCACGGACCCGAATGCCCAAACAACGGAATATATCGACGACTTCCAGTTCGTCAACCCCGCGGGCTCCTTCTTCCAAAACAACAACTCGATCCTACCCGTTTTCACGCAGTATATCCGCGAACACATCCTGCCTCCAGCATCCTCACCACATAAAATCTGCCACCTGATAGATGCGTACTCGGGCTCCGGCCTCTTCACCATAACCCTCTCGGCCCTCTTCACCTCCTCCCTGGGAATCGACATCTCACCCGCCTCCATCACCTCGGCAACCCACAACGCCACAATCAACAACCTCCCCTCATCCTCCGCGAAATTCATAGCCGCCGATGCCGCGGCCCTCTTCGCCTCCATCAACACCCCGGCGAACCAAACAGTCGTCATGATCGATCCGCCGCGCAAGGGATGCGATGAAAGCTTCTTGAGGCAGTTGGTGCGGTATGGGCCGGCCCGGGTGGTGTATGTGAGTTGTAATGTGCATACGCAGGCGAGGGATGTGGGTGTGTTGGTGGGTGGGATGAAGGGCGCTGATGGGGGTTTGGGAGAGGGCGTGGGGTGCTATGAGATTGAGAGTTTGAGGGGGTTTGACTTTTTTCCGCAGACAGGGCATGTGGAGGGGGTTGCGGTGTTGAGGCGAAAGGAGGAAAGGAAGGAAGAGTAAGAGGGGTTCGTGGGAGGAAAATACGTTTCGAGAGGATGGGTATGTGTGAGATACCTAGCGATGTGTTGGACTTGTCACTTTTGATGGCGGTCGTGTATAAATATAGAAGTATTGCATTTGAAAGTCTCTCTGCGTACTATCGGAATGACATTTTACTGTGTTTGTTCGGAACACTTCACTTGCAGACTTCGTCCGTATCGTGCAACTGGATGGCAGAAGCCCTAGCTTAGGGAATAAAATGCCGTAGTATTCTCTAATACCGATGGCAGCGTGATGGATGAGGTCTAGATGAATGTTTGAATGCTAGGCAGAATTATGTTTATCGAAGCCCACCCTATCAAGACAAAACACTTGAGCATGAAGATTAAACCAACATCATATCAAACTCACGCCGAACACAAATCTAAAACTGATACCGTATCGGCCTCCCATATGCAGGGCTAGTACCCACCGCCTTTGTCCTGTTTGCCTTCAGTCCAGTCATACCTGTCTGACATCGTGATTCATTCACACCTACTCGCCCATCCGTTTGCCTTCTCTATCCTACCGTTTCCCCTCTCCCCTCTTTCCCGCACGCACACATCCAAATTCAAAATCACCGTCTACAACGATCGCAGTATATATATTGCTTAAAAGCGAGAATCACAACTAGTAAAAAGTTTTACAAAGCTCGATAGCTCAGTGGAAGAGCGACGGGCTCATATCATATGCTATGAATATTGTGGCACCCGTAGGACGGTGGATCGAAACCACTTCGAGCTAGACTTTTTTATTTTCTGTTTTGCTGGCTTTTCTTGGATATGGGGAGAAGGGGATGGATAAGTGGATAAGTCACGGTTCAACTTCACGGGGTTTTTTTCGGGTGGATTTGTGGGTGCTAATGAGACTAGTAATGAAGAAGAGAACTTCTAGTTGCAATCTTTGGTGAGAGATGTAGTGCAAGTATGTTAATGGGCAATGATGAAGTGTAATGTTTTTTTTTTTTTTT